AGGAATAGTCCATCCATACATTGTCCAGGTCACCTATTCAATCATTAACATCCAAAATAATTTTCCATTCTTTACAAACACTTCAACTTTTTCTCCTGAACTGCTATAACACTTATATTCTCTATAAATGCTGTCTATCAGTGCTGTCTCAGAATGTTCTGCAATGATGGAAATGTCCAATATAGTACTCACTGGCAACATGTTACTATTGGGCAGTTCAAATGTCCTTAATTTGTTTAACTGAGGAACCAAATTTTTCATTTCAGTTAATTTAAATTTAAATTGCCACATTAGTCTAGTGGTTACTGTGTTTAACAGCAGTAGAATACTTTTTTCTTAATGCCATTCTGGAACATGAAGTCCAGAATAGGGCTCAAGAGCACAGGCTCTTGAAGCAGACCACCTGGGTTTGAATCCCAGCCCTATCATTAACTAGCAATGTGACCTTGGACAAGACATTTAATACTTCTGTGCCTCTACCCCTTCATGTATCAAATAGCGGCACTAATAGCACCTACCTGGAAGGGTTGTTGTGGGAGTTACTTGAATTAGCTTGTAAAATAGGTGCTTAGGCAAAGTAAGCACTAAGAAATATCAGCCATCATTCAGTATTATCATTTTTAAAATCATTCATTTATATGAATTTTGTCTCATCTACTAGATCCTACTTCACATTCTTAGTGAGGATAGAGATTGTCTTTTCTTTTTTAATTTCTCCCCAGTGCTTGCACATTATTATGCTGCCCAAAGAGGAAGTCAATAAATATTGATTGCATGCAATGTGTAAATGAGAGAGTTAAAATCCCATTAAAATGAACTGGAAATGACAAGTCAATTTCCTTATTTATAATTTGTGAAAAGATTAAATTCTGTAAGTCTTGTTTTCATAATTAAGAGTAGCCATGCATTTATATTAGTCCCATTAGACTTGGGACAACAAAATTAGAAGACATTCATGAGTGAAAGAATAGTGTAAAATAAAACTTTTCTCTTTTTTCCCTTCAATTCAGTTATGAATTCCTCTCCAATGCGTGCTAAATCCAAAATGTTAGTAATTACTGAGTACATACACTAAGCTCCTTAGTTTCACCCAGTACTTGAAATTAAACAATTACATTATCACCTTTATCATCTCTATTTTTAGTAGGCTCTTAGATGTGAAATGAGCTAAAACAGGCAATTGTTTCTAAGAGTTTTGTTTTTTTTTGTTTTTTTTTTTAACAAATAGTTTATTGTCAAATTAGTTTCTACATAACACTCAGTGCTCATCCCCAAAGTGCCCTCCTCCATGCCCATCCCCCCCTCCCCCCCACATCCATCAGTCCTCAGTTTTTGTCAGCATTCAAGAGTCTCTCATGGTTTGCCTCTCTCCCTTTCCCCCACCATTTCCCCCCTTCTTCTCCCCCTTGTTCCTCCGTCAAGTTCCTCCTAATCCTCCTATACGTGCAAACATATGATATTTGTCCTTCTCTGAAAAGAGTATATTGATGGATCTACGTGGATTCTGGGGATACCCTTTTTCTGGTTTCAATAATATAGAACCTGTAACTGCAATATAAAAGTTGCTACAGAAGAAAGCGTTCCAAGCTATCTAGGTACGGGTTTTATCAGATTTAATCATTCTTGCTAGAGGGAAGAACTGTTCACTTTATTACAACAATAGTAAAAACAATTTACATGTCTATGACAACTTTTCTTAAGATTATCATTTACAAATGCCTTTTACTTATGTTGTCATTCTAGAAATGCATTCTTCTCAAAGATGAAAGATAGAGACCTACCAGCCCAAGACCCAGTAACGAGTAATAAAAGCAAGGTAACTTTCACCTCCACATGCCCCATTCTTCAACAACAACACAATTCAGGCCAGCCTGGCTTTATAGGAGTCAATTAGTACCAGACTCATTCTAGTAAAATCAGTCACACTATAACACAACCTACAAACCTGTAGGCTAGCTAAAACAGGTTTTATTTACCTATATTCTGTAGAAGATAAACTAAGGCACAGAGAGTAAATGAATTAATCTAAGGTCACACTTGAGGAAGCAAAGGGCAATATGGGAACTCACCCAGGAAGTAGGAATTTAAATCTAAGTTTCTTTTCAATGTTACGTTTGCTCACATAAAGGGATTTAGAAAAGTCCAAAAGGAAATTCTGTCTGGAACTTGCTATTGGCAAGTTGCCAACTGAACTCATTATCTAGTATTTGCTTTTCTCCTATATCCAAGAATTTGGGAACACTGCAGACTGAAATGACACACACAAGTCTCCTCTGACTTCAACTTCACAGAAATGCCATAAAAATATTTTTATAAAATAAAGATGACAAGCTCAAGAAAAAAAAAGGGAAATCCTGAGATGCTAGAAATGAAGAACTTAAAATCAGAATGAGAAGTGAGAGCTGACCCAGATTCAGAGATAGCTTCAGGGGCTGGTCCCTGGAGTTTTAGTGTCCATCCAGGAATAGAGATTTGTTTTCTGGCTTTTTTTTTTTTTTTAATGTTTATTTATTTTTGAGAGAGAAAGAAAGAGAGAGGCTGAGAGAGGCAGAGAAAGAGGGAGACAAAGAATCTGAAGCAGACTCTATGCTGTCAGTGCAGAGCCTGATAAGAGTCTCGATCTCACAAACCGTCAGATCATGACCCAAGCTGAAGTTGGATGCTTAACTGACTGAGCTAGCCAGGTACTGGCTTTTTTGGCTTTTCTGGCTTTTAGGACAGAATATATATGGGTGAGTGACAAAGACCAGACTACAGTTCCCTTCATGAAATCTGGACCCTTGATTGAGCTGCCCAGTCAGTGAAAGAGAGTAGGAAGTACTATCCACTGGCTCAGGAAAGTAGGAAAAACTTTCTGACAGGGACCTCAGGTAGGGGTAGTACAGAAGAGATAGGGGGTCCACAAAAAATGAAAACCAGACGCCTGTACTATAATCGGAAATTTGGAGAATATATATTATCTAGGTGGCATGGAGACTCCTAGCTGTAAAATTATAAGTACCATTGAAATCCCTAGGGGCCTGGCAGCAACAGAAATGAAAAAGTACTGTACTTTCACAACACAGCACACAGAATTTCCACAAGGAAGAGGGGAAAAAAATATCCTACTGAAGATGTAATCATCTTCAAAGAATTATAAACCATACAAAGATATACATTTTCATGAGGTATAGTCAGCAACCACAGCAAGTCGAATATCTATCACCCACTCAGAAAAAAATGAAAAAATCCAAAAGAAACCACAAAATACTATGTTAATAAAAATAAAAAGTAAAACCATAATGAAAGGTCAGGATATTTTTAAACATTTTGATATTTGAAAAGGAACCAAAAGGACTATCTAGAAATAAAAAAATTATAGTTACTAAGATGAAAAACTTGGTGAATATATTAAAAAGCAGATTAGACATAGTTGAAGAGATTCTTTTTTTAAAAATAATTTTAATATTTATTCATTTTCTGAGAGAGAGATGTAGACAGAGTGCGAGTGGGGGAGGGGCAGAGAGAGAGGGAGACACAGAATTGGAAGCAGGCTCCAGGGTCTGAGATGTCAACACAGAGCCTTACGCAGGGCTCAAACTCAAGAATTTGAGATCATGACCTGAGCTGAAGTCGGATGCTTAACCGATTGAGCCACCCATGCTCCCCAAGAGATTCTTAATTAACTGGAAGGCAGATATGAGTACATGATCCAGAATACACAAAGGAGAAAAAAAGAATAGAAAACCTGGAAGTACAATGAAAAGATACAGAGAACAAAAATCTAACAGAAGTTCAAAAGGGGAAGATAGAGGGAATGAGGGAAGGCAATAGGTAGTGGCTAAAATTTTTGAAAAATAAAGATAGACAGGAGAGGCACAACCTCTGACAAAATGACTAAAAATGAACCCATATCTAGACATAAATTAGTAGAACTACAGAACATCAAAAACAATCTTTTAAAAGCAACTATAGAGAAGAAATTACCTTAAAAAAGAATAATAATTAGGCTGATAAAAGATTTCCAATTAGTACCAATATAAGTCATAGTCTGTGGGACAACAACTTCAAAGAACTGAAGGAAAATAACTGTCAATTGAGCTAATTACCATTCCTTCCCAATTTTTTTTCTTTAAAAAAATTTTTTTTAATGTTTTTATTTATTTCTGAGAGACAGACAGCATGAGCAGGGGAGGGTCAGAGAGAGAGGGAGATACAGAATCCTAAACAGGCTCCAGGCTTTGAGCTAGCTGTCAGCACAGAGCCTGACGCAGGGCTCAAACCCATGAACCGTGAGATCATGACCTGAGCCGAAGTCAGACACTTAACCGACTGAGCCACCCAGGCGCCCCCGCCCCGCCATTTCTTTCTTAAGCCAATGGAGAGATGTATGCCAGCAGAAGAGACACCTGGACAGGACTAGCTGGGATTAGCAAAGACCAGCAATATATGGAAAGATAGTTAATTTGGTGGAATCTGTACACAAGTTTCCTAACTGTGAGGTGGAAGAGAAGATCTAGACATAAGACTCTAGAAGCTTTTGACTTTACATTTTTATTTCTAGCCAAAAGTTGTCAGTCTTAGTGCCAAAGGATTAAATAGAATTATTTATGGAGCATGTTAAGTGAACTCTGGGTATATAACATAGTAATTAACCCTGAAGTCTCTGGATTAAGACGATTTAGACAGATTGAGATCAGGTGCACCCAGGGTGGTATGACCATAGACTTCATTAAGACCAGGATCTAATCTTAACTCTTTATTTTGCACTGAGTAAATTTGATCAAGGTACTTTACTTCTCCATGCCTTAGTTTCTGCAGTTATGTCTCAGTTTAAAAAAAGATTAAATAAGAAAAGACATACAAAGCCTTTGGCATAGTATCTAGTGCAGAGTAGGTAGTTAATATAAAGCCTAGCTATTAGTATTAGTTTTGACTACAGCACTGTAATTTGATCATGTAGTTTGAAGGACTGATCTTTAATATGACTAAAGAAAAACTAAAATATCAGAAACACATACTCTGACATCTACTGAGCAGCCCACAGTCCACGATGGATTTCCCAGTACTTGATTTTGGCACAGAAGATGAACCAGTGAAGATTTCCCAACACCTGTAAAAGATTTAAGAACTCTAGTCATGTAAGAGACATGCTGAAATATCTAAAAGTAAGACTGACCATATGCAGTAATAATGATAGGTAAGGTACAGTTGGCTAAAGGGTGGTCGTACCATACCAACCATTTAATAAGCTTTATGATAAAGAGAAGATGGTTAAAACAGTGGTTCTCTCAAATTGTGCTTGAATATTGTGACAGGGATTCACCATTTCACAATTCTGTATTTAGACACTCTAGTTCTCCCATATAGTGATTTGTAAAAGGCAGCCAATAACTTGGCTCAGACTTGACCCTTTGGAAAAAGAGAACTACTCTATTCCCTCTTCTACATCATGGTCCTTTACCTTAAGGCAGCACTTTATTTTCTTGTAGACCCTTTGGGTTCAAGGTAACATAGTTATTAATGCTAGAATTAGCATTTGGAGATCTAGATGAAGAGGAAAGAGAATGAGTTCTTCTGTATACCTGTATGTAGAGTCTCTCATTCAATTAACAGCATTTGGGGATGCCATTGTAACACACATAGTTGGTGAATCTTTATGTAACACTAGTTGTATCAAAAATGCAGACCATCTCTTTGTGTGCATTACTGTGTATGGACCTATTATGTTTATTTTTTATTATAAAAAGTTATATTTACAGACAATCTGGAATGAAATTTAAAGAAGCAAAAATAGCCTGAAGAGCACTATAAGCAATGTAGGTTTCTTTAATACCATTAGCAGGGGTTTTCTAAAAGTAGGTTGTTATTGTGTATATATGGTGAACTTAAAACAATACACGCCTTTGCTTACACAGCTGGTTTGGTCTGAAATATCCTCCCCATTCTCCCCATTCATTTCCCCTCCCCCATTGGCCTGGTAAATTAATCTTTCAAGACTCTTTCTAGTTATAAAGTCTTTTTGAACTACACAGTGGTAGAACTAAGCACACTATCCACCATCCTCTGGGTCTCCTCTGTACCCTGTACATTTTTCTACAAAGCACTTAAAACACATTATTACATTTCTTTGTTTACAGTTTTTATTCATTCAGTTTAAGTTCTTTGAGGGTTGGGACTAGGTTTTACACATTGTTTTTATCTCCAGTCTCCAGAACAGGGCCTTTATTTAGTGGTTAAAATTTTCCATGTTATTACAGAATCTTCATGAACATTTAAAAATATATATTTATTTATTTTTGAGAGAGCACAAGTGCAGGGAGAGGGGAACAGAGGATCCGAAGTACGCTCTGCGCTGACAGGCTGCTAGCCAGCCAGATGTGGGACTTGAACTCACGAACCTGAAATCACAACTTGAGCTGAAGTCAGATGTTCAACTGACTGAGCCACCCAGGTGTCCCTTCATAAACATTTTCAATATCTCCATAGTAGTTCAGAGAGTAGACATAACAATTTACTTATCCATTCCCTCATTATTAGATATTCAGAGTATTTTGAACTTTTCATTATGCTAAGAAAAGACTTGTTTAAATTTTTGTTTCAAATTAAAAATGATTTCCTTATTATATCTTTCCAGAAGTGAAATGAACATTTAAAGTTCTTGATATGTTGAGAACTTTCATCTGGCTACTCTGCCACCAGCCATACATATAAGCCTGCAAATCCTGTTGCACCTCAACAGTACATATATTGTTGCTTTTTCATCTATGTTTGAGAAGAGAAAAAAATGACATCTTGCTTTGGTCTGCATTTCTTTACCTTCCGGTAAAGATATCCATTACAATCTCCTTTGTTAATTAGTTGTCTTTCCTCTCTTATGAAATTATCTGTTGATGTTCTCTGCCCTTTTATCTAATGGGTTTTAGGGTTATCAATTTACAAAACCTCTTTTTATATTAGCTGTCTTGTGCAGTTGAATCAAATATTTTCCCAGGTTTCCCTTTAATTCTTTTTATTTTTTTCAATGCAGACATTTTAGATTTTTGAGTACTCAAATTTGGCTCTGTCTTTGTATTTCACTGCACTGCATCTGGTATCTGTGACCTTTAGGGCATATTGTTTGTTTCTGTGTTTGCATGTAGGTTGTCTATGTTGGAGACATTTATCTACTTAGTTATCAGCCTGATGCAAAGCTTAAGCTTCTAGTTAAGTTTAGCTGTGTCAGTAAACATCTCTATGCAGTTAATATTGTATAGCTCTCCAAGAATTAACTGTTTTGGGTGATAAGAGTTGACTAACCCTGGATAGACTGCCAACAGTAAGAACTATTGAAGTGCCATGAAAATTGGCTAACTATTAACTTCTTTAAGAATTTAGGGAGGTACTAATTCTATGCTTTTACCATTAGAATCGAATTAGATCAGAAGAATGCCCTTGATTTGCTTGGGAGAAAAAGTGCAATATAATTAAATAAATGCCAATTCCAAATACAGTTGTTGGTAATGTGTTAAGCTTATCCCTTATCTCTGAAAGAACAAAGAGGAAAAAATGTATGTGTGTTATTGGTGAGACTTGCAGGATTTCTTACTAAATTATCAACTATCTCTAGGGGATATAAAACAAATCTCTAAATTTCCAGTGATTCTTTCATATATTTGTGAAATCCTCAACATTTCACAGGAGATATAAGCCTTTATTCAAAAATACAAAGGCTGATGAAACGTAAAAAGCATATCCTTACCTGACTGTTAGTAAATCAGTATTAAAAGGGAATTGACAAAAAGGCAATAACCCATTTTACACACATAGCCTAATATCCATGAATGTGTTACAAGATCAATCAAGTAGGCATGACTGTGTCTTCTGTTTTACAACCAGACTATCAGGAAAAAGAAAAGCTTACTAATTGCCTGATCATTTTTCCATATTTAATGCAGCAGCCAATTCAACCGTGTTATGTAATGCACTGATTTCACAGTTACAGCCTCGGCACTTACTGTAGTGCCTGCTGTGTAGCAGGTACTTAAGTATTTTTGTGAAAAACAAAAAAATGGACTAATTCCAACAATATGGAACACGAAGTGTTGGTTAGATGCGATAGAAAAGCGAATTAAAAATGAGAGAGAAAGCCTACTTTATACATCACGAACCGTGTTAGCTCTAGATTTGTCTCAAATTCTACTTGGTGATACTCTTGACAAGTCCCGTTAGAACATCATTACTGAGTGACTTCATTAACTTCAGCACCACTTCAAGCTAAAGAACTGGAGTTGATAAATTGGATTATATTAATAGAATTTCATAATGCAACTTCCTTAAGGGAATATTAAATAATGCTATTTATAAAACATTCTGGAATACAAATAATCTTCAGGTAATGTGGAAATGTTCTTAACTTCCTCCTTTCCACCACAACTGTATACAGTCTGTAAGGCTAGTTTTCAAAGTGTTTGGGGGGTATCCTCTTCATGGTTTATCCTCCATGCATCCTGCATAATGTCTTTGCTCACAAGCACACAATCAGAGATAAACTCCAGAAAGTTCATCTATGAAATGCAAGGTTAGTATTTATTCCAAGTTCTTAAGAAGCACAGGGCTGGAAGTTATGGTAAGAAAGATAAGGGCAGTAAGGTGACAGGGGGAAATGCAGACTTCAATTCTAGTTCTCAAAAGTCAAACGTGCCAAAAGAAGAATTTTAATTCTTAATGCTTAATTCTTAATGCTTAAATAGAGCTCAGCATTAAATCCTAGCAGTTTCATAATATGGCCTTATCTTAATTGCTCTATTTCTTACAACCTAGTACATAATAGGTTTTCAATTAGGATTAAAGAGAACAAAGAAATCAAGAAGCCCAGCTGAGAGTAAAACAAGGCTAAAACAGGACTACCACCCAATATTTCATTTCATAACATGGATTCATGTTTATGTGTGTAGACTCTGGGTTCAAACAGGTTCTGTCATTTACATCTCTCTTCTTCACTTTTCTCATCTGTAAAATGGGTTTAATACGGCTGATCTCACAGGTTAAATGAGTTAATATATGTAAAGCAGTTGGAACAGTCCTTCTTCTTAGTGCATGTCTGAATTCCGTAATGAACAAAATCTCTTGAAGGTACGATCCCAGGATCTGTATCTTTCGCATAGCGCCCAGTACAATACTCAATGTCTGCATATCTCTTAAAACAAAGGAATCGACAATACAGGTAGGATGCGGTCGCCCGGGAGACCAGCTTGGAAAGCTGCGAGGGCGGAGAAAGGTCGGGGCTCCGCGCCCCCCACCTGCAACGCCACCTTCGTCAGATAGAGCAAAGTCCTCTGGGAAGTGTAGTTTTTAGACCTTGAAAGGGCTTTCAACCACGGTCAGAGCCAGTTCGCTGGAGAAGCGGGGGAGTAGGAAGGAAGAGGTTATCAGAAAACTCAGAAGTGTCGGGAACCCTAGAGGTGGATTGAGCCGCTCACCTGAGTCTCCCAATACGAGTACCTTCACCCGATCCAGGGACGCCATCTTGCCACAGCCCGGAGTTAACGCCTGTTCCGGGATGGTAGGCCAACCAGAGCTGGGTATGGAAGAGAGAGCCTTCAATTTCATTGGCTAATCAGGGGTGTCACTGTCTTGATCGGAGACCTCACTGTGCTGATTGGCCAGTACGGTTAAAAGTTGTGGGTGGGTTCCAAAGCTGGTCGCAGGAATAAGGAGTTGTCTTTGTCGCACAAGTGGCGTGCCTCGTTTAAGCCGGTAGTTGAGGCGCTGAGGGAAGCTGTAGTGGGAGTGTTCGAGGATTCGTTTTGGTAAACCTTGCTCCCTGTTTCTTGTTCTCGATTCCCTTGTCCGGCGTCGCATTTCAGGGTTTCTCCCCCTTTTCTCTCCTTTCTCCTTAGCTACCCGCATCCCCTTAGCTATTCCCTTGACGTGGTCCTCCAAAGAACCATTGACCCCGGAGCGGCCCGTGTGCGACCTCGGGTAGGACGGGCTTGGCTGCGCCGAGTGTGACCCCAGCACTCACCTGGCACAGTCCGAGGGAATTTAGGGGTTCGGGGGCTCTCTGGGGAGGAGTGAACATTACAGAACCGAGCTCAGAACCGAGCTCGTGGAGGGCAGCTGGTTGCAGGTTTTGCGGTGATATGCCGCTTTATCTACGAAGGTATGGAAAGTGCCATGAAACATGGTAACTGAAGAAAACACAAACGTATAGGATCCAAGTTCTTCTAGAACCGGAATAGTGGTACGCTGAAATAATCTAACTCGATTCCCACAACCGCTCCTTTCTCCTTTGTTTTACATCCTGTAGCATAATCTTTTAAAACAGAGAGTTTCAATCCTGTCACCGCCTGCTTAAAGTCATTTGAAGTTTAAGGAGAGGATTTTCAGTAGCCTTTTTCTACTCTGGAAAGAGCAGTGGAGGAAGTGATTTGGGGGAAGCTGGCAAGGTGGGCATTTTGAACACGTGCTTAGGAGACTTCCTGGAAGTTTTATGAAAGTGCTTGACTATCTGTGATGGGGTCTAGAAAGTGGTGAACAAGATTAAGGCCCTGGTCTCAGAGACAGACTTGAACAAAGTACAAATCTACTCACTGCAAAGAGGAAACGGGAAGCGCTGTGTGTGGAAGGGGAACATTTAAGCTACTAAGGGGGATCTGTTGGAAGGTCTCCCTGAGAAATGTCATTTTATATGTGAAAGATGGTTAGGAGAAGGGAGTTTGAGTTTAGCTTTGTGGGCAGAATGAACAGCATGTGCAAAGGCCTGGAAGTGGAGAAAGCATGTGTGCCTTATGGAATTGGGAGAATGCCAGTGTGGCTGGGGATGAGGCTGACAGGGGTAAATTGTACAGAGAACGGATGCATTTCAACTTTGTTTCTCCAACTCTGTGCCTGGTGCCTGACTAAATGTTTGTATGATGAGAATACATTGTTCAAAGAAAGCCAGATTGCTCTTGGGGGTCTGGACTGAGTTAGGGAGGTAGGTGAGGCTGGGAGGCGACTGATGGACTGGGAGGCTAAAAAGAAGAAACAGGTGCTGAAAGGTCGCACATTCAAAAGTCTCCAGAGGCCCACCAAGCTCCTTCCCTGTTTAAAACCATCAACTGTTCTTCAGCTTCAGGTTATTGTTTCCCTGTGGTAACATGGTCTCATTTTTTTTCCTCAGATACTTCCAACTTTGAAGCTCAAAATTGAAATTTATGTGAAATTTCATGATTTTTAAATGTTGACAACTAACTCGGAAAATGTTCAAACCGTTCTTTGGGTCAAACAGTGTGACAGAGGTTGCCAGTTTGAGACCTCTGACTTAGTAACATAGTAAGTCCAAAGACTGTGTAGGAGATACAGCAAAAGTGGGAAGTAGAAGTGATAGAGGAGAGAACAAAATGGTCAGGAAGGATGATTTTAGAATGTAGAGATTTTGCATAAGCTGGAAGAGCGTGGCTTCTTTCCTGAGCCCCAGTTTCATTTATTCAGTTACCTCCTGGACTTCTTCACAGAATATTCTGTGGTATGTCCTCAAAGACAAGCATCTAAAAGTGAATGCCTCGTTTCTTCCAAACCTGTACCTCTTTCAGGTGTTAATTCATTTTTCATAGTAGTAGTAGTGTTCTCTTCCTAGCTATACTGGCTCAAAACAAATAGCTATATGTCATTATTTAATAATATTGAGTGTTATTGTTTAATGGGTGCAAGTGTTTCAGTTTTTTACAAAATGCAAAGAGCTATGGAGATGGGTGGTGGTGATAGCTGTACAACAGTATAATTATATTTAATACCACTGAACTGTATACTTAAAAATGGTTAATTGCTAAATTTTGTGCTAATTGTATTTTACTACAATAAAAATGTTATTTTAAAAACCCATAGCTATTTAAAATTTTCATACTCTGTAAACTCATTTCCAATAAATTATCAGATTCCTTTAATTTTGTTTTTGTAGTAAGTTTCATTCATCCTGACCTCTCTTCCTTAGTTTAGGTTTGGTTACCATGGCTCCTAATAGTTCTGCAGTGGCTCCGTCTTCAGTACTTCTGGCCATTTCTCATACTGTTACAAGAGTCACTTTTCTAAATAGAGGGTCTTATTATCAATGCCTGTATTTAATGATATTTTCTGTTTCCAGCCCTGAAAGCAGAATACTTTCCATGAATTATCTCATGTAATCCATACATCAAATCTATGAGGAGGGTGCTGTCAGTCACTTTTATATATGAGGAAACTGAGAACTTTCTAAGGACACAGGCTAGGAAATGATGGAACTGGGATTCAAAACCCTAAACTATTGTACTGCAGGGTCCCTCATATCACTCCCTGCTTAAATCTGTAGGGCTTACTAAGGTGTTTCAGGCAAAGGAAACAGGCGAAATGATAATGTGCACTGTTAGGACATGTAATAGCCACCCACCAAATTTGTCAGGAACAGTGGTCAAAGACTTTCTGTGTTTTGGAATCACAGAATAAATAACATTATGCCTAACCTGGCTTTCCCAGACCAGCTGAAACAAAATATCTGGGAATGGGGCCCAGGATGGGCATTTTTAAATGCTCCCCAGACGATTCTGCTTTACATCCAGGGTTGAGAATCATTGGTCTAGAATATGGAGTGTATGGAGTGGGAGGTCAGGGAGGGCAATAGAACAGTAGGACATAATATTGGAAAAGTCACTTATCTTGACATTTGTCTGCCATTTTTGGTCTGTTGGATGCTTCAGACGCTATATGTTCTGCCAACTGTTGAGCATGTAAAGCAAAGCAAAAAAATGAGTCAAATTGGAAAGGAGAACAAAATGCATCTGGTAGTATGCTATGTTAGATACTACTTTGGTGTTCAACTCAGCTACTTGCTCAGCATCCTTACGCCTTGGGATGACAGGAATGGTCTAGGACTAGAGTAGGTTTAGATCTAGGTCCTGCTTTGTCTTTTATATATAGTCATGTCCTGCCTGATTATTTACAGCCTGAAATATTATAACTGACTTTCCTTTTATCTTTCCTTTATTACACATATAGCATTATATTTCCCCCCCAAAACATGTGTATAGATTGGTTGTTTAGGAATATCTTGATGATATCATACTGTGGATATAAAAATATTTCTTCTAAAAAGTATTAAATCTGATTGTGTTGCTAACCACGGATTATAAATAAAAGGTTCAATAGAAACTACTATTAATAAAAGAATATAATTCTCTATTGAAATAGTTCAGTAGTCTCTGTTAGAAACTTCCCTATAGTGTAGGGAAATGTAACTTGACGTAGTCTGTGTGGATAGCCTGGCTGTCACATACCAATTTAATGATCAAATCAACATGGGAGCTATCCTTATCAACAGTTGCTTCCTAATACACCTATTGCTTCACATTCTCATTTGTTCACCACAATAACCTCACTGAGGTAATTAATATTATCCTTAGTTCTCAGAGAGTAAAGTGTGGCTTAGAGTTGTTTTAAGGAATTTGCTCAGGATCACATAGCTACTAAAACTCAGGCTAACTGAATTCCAACGTCCAGGCTTTTTAACAGCCACATGAAAGTCTACCCATGCCAGTTTGGGCTTGTGGAAGATAGCCTTCTGGGTCATGATGAAAACTAGGTACGGTTAGCTTCTGCTTTGTCCTGCAAGAAGGGATCCAGTATTTAAAGATATCTTGAGCTTTCTTTTTTTTCCTTTTCCTTTTTCTTTCTTTCTTTCTTTCTTTCTTTCTTTCTTTCTTTCTTTCTTTCTTCTTTCTTTCTTTCTTTCTTTCTTTCTTTCTTTCTTTTAGGACTATTTATTTAATTGGTCATCAGATTTAACTTTGCAAGGTTGGTAAAGCTATCCAGATCTAAGTGTTCATTTCTTTTAGATTTATAACAGTAATTTTGCCAAACACCCATCTGGTCATGACTTATGTGTTTATTAGTTTATTGTAATTTTATTGTGAGAGCATGACCATGTAAAATCTCCCAGAATAGATTTTGGTAGGAAAATTTTATTCCAGAAAAGAAATAGAGACACTTCAAGGATATGCTAACTGATAGTTTTTCAGGGGTTTTCCAGCATTCCCAAAGATCTATAGTATTGAGTAGTGAGGCTTCGTTTATCTTTTTTGTTTCTCTTTCTGAAATAAAGTGGGCTTGATATAATATATCATTGCTATAAGTAATAAGTTACTTTTTAGAAACAAGCACAGTAGATCATGAATTTTAACATTTAAGGCATATGTAAAGCTTTTAAAGTATAATCTGTGTACTTTAGAGGAAAATTTTGTTTTCTGTTCAATGCTTAGGTATTAGAAGTCTTAAAACATTGTCTTGAGTACCTTCGTGACACTTCAAAGGGTGGTAGCTGCCAGCTCCCCATTGGGTTGATAATTCTAGATTTAAAATGATTACTATGTCCTTCTAATCCCTTTTTTTTTCTGAATTTAGTTTATTTAAAGTTGAAGTTTACTGCTAAAGATGGCAGATCCAGATGTCCTCACCGAGGTTCCTGCAGCATTGAAGAGGTTAGCCAAGTACGTGATCCGGGGGTTTTATGGCATTGAGCATGCTTTGGCCTTGGACATCTTGATCCGGAACCCCTGTGTGAAAGAGGAGGATATGCTGGAGCTGCTCAAGTTTGATCGGAAGCAACTTCGATCAGTTTTGAATAATTTAAAGGGAGATAAGTTCATCAAATGCAGAATGAGGGTAGAGACTGCTGCAGATGGGAAAACCACTCGCCATAACTACTACTTTATTAATTATCGTACTCTTGTTAATGTGGTAAAATACAAATTGGACCACATGAGGAGGAGGATTGAAACTGATGAGAGAGATTCCACCAACCGGGCTTCCTTCAAATGTCCTGTCTGTAGTAGTACTTTTACGGACTTAGAAGCTAATCAGCTCTTTGATCCCATGACAGGTGAGATTTTTTCCAATTTATGAATCTTATAAGTAACTTTAAAAAATAAAATATGTATTTCTTAAACTGGTTTATCTAATTTTTTTAAAAAGCTTATTTATTTTGAGAGAGAGTGAGAGTGCATGCAAATTGGGGAGGGGTAGAGAGAGAGGGAGAGAGAGAATTCCAACAGGCTCCGCACTGAGAGTGTGGAGCCCAATGTGGAGCTCAATTCCATGAACCGTGAGATGACCTGAGCCGAAATCAAGAGTCAGATGCTTAACCAACTCAGCCACCCAGGCGTCCCTGGTTTGTTTAATTTTTAAATCGATCAGGCATATCATTATAAAATTGAATGGATTCATAAGTCCATTATGGTCATTCTTAGTCTTACTTGTTTGACTTACTTTCTTGTTCATACTACTTTTAGAAGCTTTTGCAAAGCCTTTTTCATTCACAAGGAAGTGTTCTCTACCACTCATGGCCCTCCTACCTCTGCTCCCACCCTCACCCCCTTTTTGCAGCTGCAGCCTAATCTGAAGGGTTGGCTTCTCTACCACTTTGAAGCCGTTTGGACATCTTTGACTTCTCTGTTGAACATTTATTTGAATGCCTGCTTGTATGAGTCACTGCTAGAAAGTTATAATACAATGTTTCTAAATGCTTTGTTAATGGAAGTACAAAGTGCTATCAGGAGTATGTAACTAGGGCATCTAATCTACATTTGGGGAAGGCCTCTGAAAGAAGTACTGACTGAGACCTAAAAGATAAGGCTTAGCTAGATGATATAAGAGGGGCACATTTTTGCAGGTTTACAAGTGGATAGATATTTAGTCTCTTAGCCATTTATTAGTGGCAGAGAATTGTCAGCATGATCTGGAATTTGCTTCATCCAAGTAAATGCTTTAGTTTTAATGATTTTTTTCTTATCAACATAGGATTGTAAAACGTGCATTTTCTAAAAGTACAGTATGCCTAGTGTTAACATCAGAAACTTAAAAAAAATTTTTTAATGTTTATTTTTGAGAGAGAGATACCACAACCAGGGGAGGGGCAGAGAGAGAGAGAAAGAGAGAGAGAGAATATCTGAAACAAGCTCCAGGCTCTGAGCTGTCAGCACAGAGTCCAGTGTGGGCCTTGAACTCTTGAATGGTGAGATCATGACCTGAGCCAAAGTCAGACACTTGACCGACTTAGCCACTCAGGCTCCCCAACATCAGAAACTTTAAAGTGCTGGGATGTATAGTTATTTTGTCTTGTCATTTGTAATCTGGAAAAGAGACTATAATTTTGCTAATTATTTGGTGGATTAATTTTGTATTATTTTCTAGAGGTTAAAGTCTATAAAGAGAGCTTGTGTTGGTAAGTTAGATTGTCGCCTTGTTATGGCAGAACTCAGGAGTATAGGGTATTTTTAGTTCATAGATCTGCTTTTTAAAAAGCTATCTGTGGACACCTGGGTGGTTCAGTCAGTTAGGCGTCCAACTTCTGCTCAGGTCATGATCTCACGGTTTGTGGGTTCGAGCCCCGTGTCGGGCTCTGTGCAGACAGCTAGCTCAGAGCCTGGAGCCTGTTTCAGATTCTGTATCTCCCTCTCTCTCTGACCCTCCCCTGTTCACACTGTCTCTCTCTCTCAGAAATAAATAAAACATTAAAAAAATTTTAAAAACTATCTGAAAAATGTAATTTAAACTTTCACACATGAAATGTTCTGTTGCAAAAAAAATAAAGGTTTATGTAGGTTTAATTTTCTAATTTTTGTATATGTTATCTGTTTAAGAGAATTTTGCAATTATTTTTTAATGGGAAATAATCCAAATTTCAACTAAGATTATTAACCTATAGAATTAGAAATAGCCTGTGACTTTTCTTATTTATTGTGAAGCAGTCATTTTAGATGAAAAATAATTTAAAGAAGCCACGTTTGTATTAAATGTTTAATTTGTCAGAGCCTGCTTACCTTGAAAGGGCTTAACTAGGAAGAGATCTTGGTTGTAAGAAAATTTTAACCATCCTGAATAAGAATTGTGTAAGTGTGCTATAGAGGAATGTTATAGAATATATCTGGAACTCTTTCAGAATGGACTAGAAAATTCTCATCACTTTGGCCACTCTCTCCAACATTTCTTAAAGGAACACTGGGCTTTGGTTTTGTGATTCTCTGAAGATATTGGTGTTACAGTGGTTGTCATTGTCACTCTTGACTACAGTGGTGTGTGTAATCCAGTCCCTCAGAGAGGGTAATCTAAAGTAATGTGCTTCTACATTTACTCATAGGATTCTTACTTAATTTCATGAGACTTTCTAAAAGGAAGTATTTCCACTACTTATAAACCAGTTTTTGGAGATTGATCCATAATGCTCTTTGTATTTCACTTAGGTTAGTGTCTGAATGAAACTAGTTGTCATCGATAGTTGGGCTGTGTAGGAGATACCCTAACATGAAAACGTAGTCAGGATTGTTTGAATCAAAGATATTGAGTCACTGATCAGCCAACACTAATAGTCAACTCAATTGTCATTTATATTCTTATAGTGAAGCTATCTTGAAGGTATCATGATTGAAAATTCTTAGTCATAGGGAAACTTCATTCTGAAAATATACCTGCTTTTTTATTATAATTTGGCTTTTCATGTGTACTTTTCCTTTAAGGAGAGAATGTGTTGATTGGGTGATATTAGGCCCCAGTTTCCGTGTCCGTTCTAGTGTTTTGTTTTTTCACTATTGATGCCTTGACATCATCCCTTGGTGGTTATACATTCCCTTTAGAAACCTTGGTCTTTTTCTCTCTGCTCCCTTACTCTGTTTTATTCATGCCCCACTCCCGTTTTAAAGAAGATGGGAAATAAACATTTGGTATGTGTATCAGAGAAGAAAGAGAGTGAACTTTTTCTGCTGTAATATTTATGCTGTCTTTAAATTGATAGAATTATAGTTTTCATTCTAAGTCTAGTCTTGTACAAATCTATTCTGTTTCTTCCTGGTTGTTATTGGAGATTGATGATATTTCTGACTCTGCCCTCATGGGGGCATCTGATGGGCATTTATCTCCATTTCCATCTCAACAATTATTAGGTTGAACTGTGGTTTATATCAGAAATTAGGGAGCATTCAGGAAATAGATTTGAAGCTTTGTAGACTTCATTGTTTCCGTGAAAAAAGTTTTTAACTCAAGTGTATGGGCAGCTCTCTGCCACTGGGCAAAGGATAATGACTCCTCGATGAGCATCCAGAAGTTCTGGGCTCAGGAAATTCTGAGTTCAGCAAGAATTGTTTTGCCATTGTTAATTCACATAGGCTAGTGATCCTTCTACTTCGGTTTGTAGCCTTTCCTTACCCCATTTCTCTTTTCCCTAAAGATTCTGGATTCTTTCCATACTTTCCATTCAGACTTTGCCATTGGTGTTCTTGGGTTGAACTCTCTCCAAATGTTTGATGCTTGGTATGTGTGAGACCTCTGTCCCCAGTTCCTTGTACAGAGCTCCTAAAACTCTTGTAATTTCCTAAATGATAAAGCACAAATAGCATATTTTATTCTAATATTTGACTTTTGACCCCCATTTCTGACAGAGGGCTCCTGAAACCCTTGTGATTTCCTGGGTTATAAGAATGTCTTTTGTTCTAGTGAGGTCACTCTGGGTGGGTCCTGGATGGCTCCTGGATGAGGGCTGCTCCCAGACCAGGCTTGGAATTTAGTCCCCCCACCCCCCATCCCCAATTCTCTTGGGGGAAGGGCAGAAAATGGAGTTAATGAGTGATCATCCCTACATGAGGAAGCCTTCATAAAAATCCCAATAGTATGGGATTCAGGGAGCTTTCAGGTTAGTGAACATGTGGAGGTGCAGGAAGAGTGGTGCACTCAGAGAGGTTAGGGAAGCCCTGTACCCTTTCCTGAAAGTTGGCCCTACACATCTTTTCCATCTGGATAATTCTTCTGTATCCTTTATCATATCCTTTAATAAACTGGTAAACATAAGTAAGTATATCCCTGAATTCTGTATGCTGCTCTAGCAAATTAGCTGAATCCAAGTAGGAGCTGGTTCATTGGAACCTTCTATCTATATAGCTTGTTGGTAAGAAACACCCATGATAACTTGGGCTTGTGACTGGCATCTGAAATTGGGGCGAGGGGACAGTCTAGTAGGCCTAAGTCCTCAGCCTGTGGGATCTGATGTTATCTCCAGGTGGCCATAACTGAGTTGATTGTTAGGACATCCAGCTGATGTCACTGGGAATTACTTGGGGTAAAATCTCCACACATTTGGTGATGAAAAGTGTCAGAAGTGAAGTGCTATATGTAACTAGTAAAGGAGACACAGGGAAGAACTGAGCTTTTTGCTGCATGGAAGGAAAAAAGGCCAAGGCTTTTCCATTACAGTAGGTATAGATACTTTATTTCGTTAAAATGGAATGGCTTAGCCTTTGCCCACTAGTCTCTGGTTTCAGAAATTTAATCAGGCAAAATCAGGTGTTTTACTGAAGTATGGGACTTACAGGTAATCAAAACAAAGACCATATGACTGTCATGAAATCCTTCAAATTAGCAAAATAGCATCTTCTAGATTTAGCAAGCTTCGTGGCCATGTAGATAGACTTAGCATTCCCGTTTATACTTTAGTCTCAACTACGGGTGATTTAGCTAATGGCACTTGTTTTTTAAGTTTACTTATTTATTTTGAGAGAGAAAGGGTGCACGCTCATGCACAGTGGAGGGGCACAGAGTGAGGGAGACAGAGAATCCTAAGCAGGCTCCTCACCCATCAGTGTAGAGCCTGATGCAGGGCTCCATCTCACAAACTGTGAGCCAAAATCAAGAGTCATATGCTTAACCAACTGTGCCACCCAGGCACCTCAGTTAATGGCCCTTCCAAGTTAAATTCAGCAGCAAGTTTCCCCCAAAAGGAAGGGGAAGATTGTATTCTCCTTTAAGGTTAGATGATATGGAAGTAGTTTTATATTTTTCATTTAAAAATTATGCAGTCATAATGCCAGAGAAAATTTTGAGGAGAAAACAACTTAC